TGTGCTGTGTGATAAAACTGCACATTTTAGAGTGGCCTTTTATTGTGGCCAGCCTAAGGCACACCTGTGCAATAATCATGCTGTCTAAACAGCATCTTGATATGCCACACCTGTGAGGTGGATGGATTATCTCTGCAAAGGAGAAGTGCTCACTAACACGGATTTAGACAGATTTGTGAACAGTATTTGAGAGAAATAGGCCTTTTGTGTACATAGAAAAAGTCTTAGATCTTTGAGTTCAGCTCATGAAAAATGTGGGCAAAAACAAAAGTGTTGCGTTTATAATTATGTTCAGTATATATATATATATATATATATATACTGTATATATTATACTCTCATTGGGGGCTGAGCCCCCCTAATATGAAAATCCTAGAATCTCCCCTGTATAAGAGTGGTTAAACGTAGTTGATCGTACGTTTAACGTAGTTGTAGTTGATCCGTACGAACCAAGCCCCAAGGTTCAGCTTGCATGTGATCCGTGATTTAATTGCAAAATGTAACCATAATAGAGTATAAGTTTATCATTTGTTCGTATTTACACAAGCAAGCAAATGTTAAACAATTTCAGAAAGAAAAGGCGAAAGGGAACTCGATTAGTTACTCGCGAGCTGTTCTCTTTGCGCACAGCCGCACATGCATGACGTTTCAGACGGCACGCGAACACCGAGCTGAATCCTCTTCTGAATCCTCTGAACAGACACACACACATAAAATGATGACAAAATACCCATCTCGACAATCATTCAGGTAAACGCAGTCAGTTATGTCTCAAGTGAATGAAAACAGCTAAATATTTTTATTTTCTTACTGATCCGAAAAACTATCCGATCCGTGGGTCTAAAACCGTAATGTGATCCGAACCGTGAGATTTGTAATCCGTTGAACCACTACTGTATAGTAATATATAAAAAATGTAAACATTTGTCAATTGTTATGTTTAATAAAATATATTAACATGAATAAACTTAAGGTTACAGAAGTTCAATTGGCAGATGCTGTTGTTTCTGCAGTATACAATACAGTATGTGTACTGTATGCTGTATTCCACAATGCAATGTGCTTGGCCTCTAGTTTGACTAATAAACTGGATTGAAATCCAGAAGTCACTGTTTGGCTGGCTGTTTCTGCTGCTAGATCTTTATAAAAGCAAGTTTCTCCATTAATGGTCATTACAAGTAGTTTTATTTTTCGATTAAATAAAAATCACAAAAAAAAAACAACTATCAAAAATAGCTATTAAGAGCATTAAACAACATGTTTTTCTTTGTCTGCTGTCAGGTTTTCTACAAGAGTAATTGATCACATGACATTTACAACTCTCTTTAAAGGAACACGCCACTATTTTTGAAAATAGGCTCATTTTGGCTGTCCAAT